GGTCCCACCTCCCTGATCAAGCAGAGTCAACCCACAGCACATGGCCCAGGATTGTGTCCAGATGTGTCTGGAGTATCTCCAGTGAGGGAGACTCCATGCCTTCTCTGGACAATCAGTTCAGTGCTCGGTCACTGCACAGGAGAGAAATTCTTCCTCACGTTCAGGTGGAACTTTGTGCATCAATCTGCCTGTTGCCTCTTGTCCCACCACCCCACAAAGCAGAGCCTGGTCCATCCCCTGACCCTCCCTGCAGACACTGGCAGACAGGGATGAGGCCCCTCTCTGTCCTCTCTTCTCGAGGCTGGACAGGCCCAGCTCCCTCAGCCTTTCCTCACTGGGATGCTCCAGTCCCTCCATCATCTTTGTCACCCTCCACTGGATCTGCTCCAGCTCCGAGTCTGTCCTGTCCTGAGGAGCCCAGAGCTGGGCACAGCACTCCAGGTGATCCTCAGGGCTCACCAGGCTCACAGGATCCTCCCTGCCCCCATATCTGCTGATGTTACTGAAGTCCCGGGTAAAGGGAAACAGATTATAGGCTTGGTGCCTCAAAAGTGCCTTTGATGTGGCACTTGGGGCTGTCAAGGACCAGTGGGCTCTGCTGGACCCCAGGCTGGCCAGTCCCTTCCTAACGACTCAGGAAGTGCAGGACATTTGGGGGCCATCCAGATGAGAAGCACTCATCATCCTTTGAGGTCATTGTTAAAGAGGGCAAAGGGAGCCATGAGCAGCAGAGCATCCGGTGGGATTCAGGGATAAACACAAAGCACTGAGAACTTTTTCATATTTCTGTCTTACAGATCAACGGCACTGCTGGAGGGAGGGAGAGGGGAGGTCTGTAAACAGCTGAAGATTGATGTCTGGTGTGGTTACCAAAGGGGACTGTGTAGGGAAACTATAAATCCTGTGTGTTTTCTGTCATAATTCAGTCAAGTGTTAAATCATAAATTCTTGCCTTGTGATTACAAAGAAATCCCTGAAATAAACACAGTAAACACCCAAACTCCTCCAAGTTTAATAAAAAGAAGGAGAGGTCCTATTTTTTTGTATGAAGTGCAGACTTTATAAAAAAACCTCTCCTCTTACACATATCTTTCCAGGAAAGTTAAATAGTAAAGGAAGCATTTTTCAACCTGAGATGTGTGTGATTAGTTTAATAATAACAATAGCAATCACTCATCCAGGTAGGAAGGGCAGTATTGCTGCAGCTAAGAGCCATGTGAGGTTTGTGGGCTGCTTCAGTCACAGTAAGATGAACCTTTGAGCTGGGGGTGGATGATGTTTGTTGGCTGGGAATTTTTCACTCCTAAAATCACTAACATTTTTTTATACCTAACCTTTGCTGGTTTTTTTACTGTGTTTTTTTTTATTATTAGTTGAGAGGGTTTTTTTTTTCAATACAGATGAAAGAAATATTTGTTCTGATTATATAAATTAATCTCTGAAGGATCTATAAAGGATAGAATGATAAATACTCTCTGGATCATGTTGTGATATAAGTTACTGGGTTAATGTATTTTAAGTTCTTGTCTGCCCATTTCAAAGTTGTTTTTTTTTTTTCCAAATGTATGAAAATCTTTTATTTTTTTCACTCTAGATGCATGAATAAATGCAGTGTACTCATTTTATGGCCAACTAGCTGCACTTATGGAGAAAATACTGACTTATATGCACAGGAATCTGATTAGGCTCTTTATAAGAACTGTAACTTAGAAATACAGGATTTTTAATTGTTTTCCCCCTTTCTTTCCATCTCTTCTGATTTAGTCTGTAATTAAGTTCCCATTGATTTCAGTGGCACAAGCTCAGACTTTGTTGATGAAAAAGCAGGTAGGAAATTCTGATGCAGTTTAACTTTGCTGCAGTTAGAATCCTTCCTCAGAAAAGCTCTGCTCTTGGTGAAGTTTCCAGCATTGGTTGGGCAGGTGGAAGTCCTCAGTGTGTCTGCCTTGCTCCACACTTCTTGGAGAGAAGTTAATCAGCACTGTGGCACCGATTGTGCTGAGCTCTCCTCTCACAAGGCTCTGTAGAAGAGAAGCTCTTGATACTGTTTTCAAAGAAAGGAGGAGCAGCTACAGAGGAATTTCAGAAGCTCAAGGCTTATGGGTTTTATCCCCAAAGCAATTGTGCTGTTGAGAGACTTGGCAATATCAGTTGTTTTAACTGATGGAGATGAGCATTAGGAGTTCAAAAACAATTGACTGGCCTACTTAATAGTAGTGTAAAAGAAATATTTAGGTTTCCTGCTTCTTGTAGCCTTTCTGAGTTTGGCAGTGCTACCATTCTTTGACATAAGTACTTCAAGGAAGGATGAGCATTGTGCCTAAATTCAAAACTTTAGCAGGAAGTATGTTCCAGAAATCTGTTGAGGTGGAAGAAGCAAAACTGCATGAAGGAGAAAGCTGGGCCAGTGGGGTGCTGGAAAGAGTAGCAAGATTTCTGGGGTAGAGGGGGCTCCTTGCAAAAGCTACTGTATTTTTATTTATGTTTATTCTTTTCATTCAGCAGGTTCCAGCTTCTGCCATTTAAACCTGGTGACAAATTTTCTCGTAGCAATGGGAAGAGAACAGGCCTGGTAAGTCTCATGCAAGCCTTGGCTCTGACCTCAGGCTTTCCTGCAGGGAGACAGTCCCTCACACAGACACTCAGAGGAGCCTGTGAGTGACCTGATGTTCAGGCTTGGCTGGCCCATACACACAATCATAGAATGGCTTGGATTGGAAGGGACCTTAAAGATCATCTTGTTCCAGTCTCCCTGCCATGGGCAGGGACATCTTTCCCTAGAGCATGTTGCTCAGATCTCCATCCAACCTGGTTTTGAACATTCCAGGGATGGGGCATCCACAGCCTCTGTGCTCGCCCTGTGCCAGAGCCTCACACCCTCACAGGAAAGCAACTATCTCGATGGGCAGCTCTGCCTGCCTCATCTTGTCATGGAAGCAGGGGATTGCCTGGCAGGAGGGTGTGGTAGGGACACAGGGGATGGGGCTGATGGCCCAGCTTTGCACCAGTCTCTGGATCAGCTTGGCCAGCTCCTGCTGGGTGCAGTGTGTGCCCCACTGTGTGACATGAGGATGGAGAAGGGTCTGAAGCTATATGAGGAGCAGCTGAGGGCACTTGGTCTGTTCAGCCTGGAGAAGAGGAGACTGGGGGAGACCTCACTGCAGTTATGACTTCCTCAGGAGGGGAAGAGGAGGTGCAGGTACAGATCTCTTCTCTCTCATGACCAGTGACAGGACTCAAGGAAATGGCCTGAAGTTGTGTCAGGGGAGGTTAAGGCAGGTTATTAGAAAGGCTGTTCCAGTGCCCAACCACCCTCTGGGGGAAGAACCTCTTTCTAATAACTGCCCTGGTGTCGTGGTCATAGCACCAAACCTGCCAGAGCTTGAGAAGTGTTTGGACAATGCTCTCAGGCACATGATGTGACTCCTGGGGTGTGCTGTGCTGGGCCAGGAGTTGGACTTGATGATCCTGATGCATCTCTTCCAATTCAGCTTATTCTATGATTCCACAATTCTAGGTCACTGCACCCCTCTGTGTGTAAAAAGCCCTACTGGGAGCCCAGAAGCCTGACTTCAGAAAGGGATTTGTTGGTTGATCAAAACCTTTTGCTATTAACTGTGGAGCTGACAGGGCTATAGAGCTAATGGGAAGGACAGCAGATGACTTTCTGTTTCTAGGGAAGTTAAACATTTACTGTTCTTGGAGCCCTGGGGTGAATGTTCAGTGCGAGGGAGTCCAGACCATATTGTGCTCTCCAAGGCAGGCTCTGAGCTGTCCTGTGTTTGTGTGGCTCAGAGCGTGGTCATTCCATTTTAAATCAGAGAAATGTTTAATCACACAGGCACCTCCTGGACTTGACATTTAAGTATTTTTTTAAATAATAATAATAATACCACAAATATAGTGCAAAGATTTCTTGTTAATCATTTAATTCATACAGTGTTGAGCCATTTAGCAGTGTTATATCCAAATGCCCATGTAAATGTAGTAAGAGTTTCATATCTTTCATTCTTTTCAGAAGACATGAGAGAATCAGATATTGTGTGGGAGAGCTCCCACATATAGTATCAGTAATTGCAGTGCTACATATTATAAACTTACAGAGCTTACAATTCAATAGAAGTTAAGATATATATTTAAATTCTAATGAGATTCCATGTGTCAATATTAGGTCAAACACATACCAATACTGAAAAAAGATTAGACTTTTCCCTTATAACACTTGCATGAATGTAAGACTTTTTCTATAACATTATGCTGAAGGTCCAGTAGAATAATATCAATGATCTTTTAATCATAAATGATTTTATGTCCTGTATCTTTATTAGCTATTATTTTTTTAATTAAAAGTATTTTAAAATTAATTTAATTTGTTGACAGTCCAGTACTTCAAGTCACAAATCACTGTTTTGTGATTTGTGCAGGACTTACTGCACCAAAAATAAAGCATTCTTTGCAAAATTGTGTGTGTGTGTATGTGTGTGTGTGTTAAAGGAAGAGGGTTTGTAGTGAGTTACTACACGTGTTCTGCTTTTTTCTGTTTATTAAAAGGGTCACAAAGGGAACCAACTGAAAAAAGAAAAAGCCTCCAACTTATAAGTTTTAAAATTATAATTTTATGTCTCTTTTTTGATCTGCTTTGTCTGTGGGATTAAGTTTGACAACTGTTTTTTTGAATGATAGGAGACCTATGGTAACAGATTGAGAGCTCTCCATCAGTCACTCTGGTTAGTGAGACAGAGAATCTCTTGTGTGGTGCGTAGTAAAGTACACCCCAGTTCTAATTATGTGTTGTGAACAACTTAAGAAAAGCAACATTCTCCAAGTCATAAAATAGAATCTTTGATTTTACTTGAATTTACAAAAGTCCCCTTTCTTATTATAAGGCAAAATGGATTTTTTTTTTTAATACTGAACATAGCTGTATTACTCTGAGCTTCTTTTGGGGCTTCTTTACTAACAATGTTGATATCCAGTGTAAATTTTAAATTGATTTATTTCTGTCAGACTGGAACTAAAGCCAGCTAAAAGCCATGCCATCCTCAAAAGACTGTATTTTCATTATTATTGTGATTAAGTTAATTACAACTCAATTTACTATTTTAACCATAGAAGATGCATTTTTTTTCTGTGCATAAAAAATGCTTTGTTCACAATTCTGAAATGGGAGGAAAACAGTGATATCCTTTCTTAACCCCACATCTTTGTAAAGCTAACAAAGGAGAAAGAGCCCCTGATCTGGCAATCTGGCACAAGGGGGTAAAGTGATGAATTGCACTGTTCAGTCTTGGACTTGAACAATTTGACAATACCTTCCAAACCCTGTGATTTCTCCCTGTCTAACCATCCCTGGGTGTTACTCAGTATTTGAAAGAGATACATGTGTGCCGAAAAAAATACAAAGTGAGCCCTTATTTCAACATGAAAGCACTTTGGGGCAAAAAGAATTTATCTGTGCAAACACCTAAAAGAGATGGAGAGAATGTCAGGGAAGTAGATGTGATTAGTCATACCCAGTGGGAGAAGGACTGCAGCTGTGAAGTATTCTGTCCTGACCTTAGAAGTAGACAGCTCGATTGTGTTTAACTGCTGCTGGCTAATACATTTAGACAGTGCAAACTCTCACGCTCCTCTAAAGACAAAGGTGGGTACCAGAACATGCTTAATTGCAAATTCTTTGTAGATCTCAGCTGTGGTCAGATGAGGTTTAAATGCTGACCCTCTCTCTCAGAAGTAAGGACGTGCAGAATTGTGTCTGAGCTGCCATCCTCCGCTCAGACTTTGGGTGTGAAGGAGGTTTCTGGGCTAAGATGCTATCCAGGAAACTTCCCTCTTGCACAGCTTCTAGATTGGGATATTTTTTTTCCCCAGAAGGGATAAACCAGCATTTTTTGTAGCAGTTAGAAGCTTATCTAAGCACTGCCTGTGTCACAAAGCTCCAAGATGCCAGCTCTGACAACGGGGAATGCCAGAACAGCTTTGGCTCCAGGCTGAAGAGCTGATCACATGTTTAAATGTGGCTGCAAACTTGGTTGACTTAGTGAACTCCAGCAACTATTCATTGTCCCTTAAAATTGAAGAGTATGGTAAAAAGACAAACCCATATCTGTAGCAATGCAGGAATACTGGTCCTCTAGTAGATTATAAGGTATTTTGCTAATGGGCAAGAGGTGCAGGTTGTTCTCAGATGCTATAGGAGCTTCCATGCAGGCAGCAGTTTTGGCCAGTGCCAGTTTTGGAAGATCAGAAATTGTAGGTTGAGGATGGAATTGCCTCTCTTCAAGGATTGTAGTTCACCTGGGAGCACCAACTCCTTACACCTAACAAATACAGCCTGTTGTGGCAGAGGGACAGGAAATCCTTTGCATGGGGCCAGGCAACACCTGGCTGAGAGTTGTTTAGAGATTTTTGTGGAGCACACACCACATCGTGAGAACTGCATGTAGCCCACAATCCATGCTGCTTGCAGTTAAGCGTGGAAGACTCCCTGCCCTACTGATTGCAGAAGTAATTAATAGCCTGTGGCTAGTTGCAGTGCTGTGCAAAATGCTAAAAACTGTTACCTTTCTGCACAGCTGTAGAATGCAGAAGACACAGTAGAATCTCAGTAAATCCTAGCAATGTTTTATTTTCAAATTGGGGTTCAGGAGGGCTGTAGCCCCTTCTATTCCCCTTCTATCTTTTGTTTGGTTTGTTTATAGGAAATTATTTGATCCTGAAAGTGGGCATTTTTTGTGAAAATGTGTTTTCACCAGAAAGCACAGCAGTGCCCAATGGCACTGTAGTGCAAAGAAAACAAATTGTGTGGGGAAATGACTGTGCTTCACCTCAGAACGTCACTTACTGGAACCTATTCCTTCAGGCCTAAGAGCAAGATTGGAAAGAAGAGCAACAACAGAGCAATATCTCTCTCTCTAGTGCCTACAGACCCAGACTTCTCAGAGTATGACAGCTCAAAGGAAGACTGAGAGAGAAAGAAAAAAAAAGTCTGTCTTTCTGCAAAACATTTAGGACAAGCAAAAGTACATTCACAGCTAATTTTAAGCAGCCTTCAGAATGAAACACCTTATTAACTCACTTGTACCTAATCCTTGCATTCTGGTATTTTTAGAAGGCATCACGCAATTCAGCAGTGGTTTCAGCCCATGTCTCCTTTGTAATTGATGACACCACTCTGTTTCTCATTTTAATTAAGAATTAGCTTTCTGACAATAAGCCTTGCTCACAAAACACATCCTGATTTAACAAAATGAATTTAGAAACAATATTAGATACACATGGACACTCTTCTTTCTCCCCCCCCCTTTAATGTGGCATTCTTAATTTGGCTTAAGAGAGCCCTAAAACTAGTCTAGGTGGAACAGATTAAGACCTGCCTCCACCACTTGGCTGCGTCATACTCTGCAGCAGGAGAAGAGTTTGGTCTCATTTCCCATCTGAAACTGGAGGAGGGTAAAGTCACCTCCATAGACTAAGGAGGTAAAGTCACCTCCATAGACTAAGGGTGCTTTTCTTGGCCAGCTTTATTGTGCAGGAACCCCCACAAGTGCTGGACTGCAGCAATTTGTGTGC